ATGCATTTAAATTGTCTGCAAAACGTGTTCCTGCTTTGAGACGCTAAAGGGAGGTTTTTTCCAAGAGCAAACAGGCTCTGGCCCTTCCCGGGCACGTTGAGATCCTGGGAATTGCCATGTCCTGCCTGCCAGTGGTGCAGACGGACGCTGCTGCCTTCCCCTGCCTGCTCCTGCTGCCCCTCGGACAGGCATGTCCTTGGAGCTCCGGGGGCTGCATCACCCAGTGAGTCCTGCGTGGGAGCCCCCAGGGTCTCAGGGCTGACGTAGCTCTGGCTTGGTGCCGTGGATGTGAAGGTAGCTCTGTTCCCTACCGCTCGTGTCCACGTACTGGGTGAGGTCTTGCCGCAGGGCAGGTGCCGAGGTTCAGATCCTGCTCTGCTTCTGCCAGCGCCGGGCAGGAGCCCCCGGGTTTTTTTTTAGGAATGCTCGCTGCATTCCCCTTCCCCCCCTCCAGGCACCCCAGCAGGGCTGGCGTTTCCCCATCCCAGGAGGGAGCTGAGCAGGCAGCCAGGCCCACTCTGGGCCACAGCAAGAGGTGTTTGGAGCAGGGGACGCCGCCGTTTGCCATAAGGAGCCCCAGTGGCAGCGGGGATTTGTCCCTGCCAGGAGCAGGGAAGAAGAGGTCAGGCTCAGCTGGGCTGCTGGGGGAGGCTGACACCAGAGCTTAGGGCCGCTGCCCCATCCCCTCGACCAGGCAGTGGGGTCTTTGCCCCTGGTTTCTCTTCCTGTGCTGGTGCCAACGAGACCCTTTTCCCCTTGGGCTGGGGCATCAGTGCTGCCATAGCCGGTCCCTGGCAGGGGAGGACCAAGGCACCCGGCTGCCACCGTTGCTGACAGCGCTGGCCCCTCTGTCCCCACAGGAGATCATTGATCTGACGTGCGAGGACACAAGCACAGACCCAGTGCCACAGAGCAGCTTCGCCATCATCGACCTGACAGAGGACACATGCAGCCCTCCCCATGCCACCAGCTGGGATGACCAGGACCCCGAGCAGGCACCTGCTACCCCAGCAGCACCCACATCCCATCCCCAGCTCTGCTCCACCACAACGCAAGAAACGGAGGCAGTGTCGGGGCCGAGCCCTGCAGCGCCCTGGCACGGTGCTCCCACAGGGCCCAGCGCCACCGTGGACACTGCAGAAAGCACCGAGAAGCAGAGCTGCTTCTCTCCTGCCTCCAGCTGCCACAGCTCCCGCAGCCGGGAGCAGAACTGCAGCACCACCACTTTTAACAGTGACTTGGGCTCCCTGGCCAGCACGCAGCTGGACTCAGACCTGCTGTCCCTGTCCCCGTCCAGCCTGGAGAGCAGCAGCAGCTGGAGAGTTGGTGGCTCAGAGGAAGAGACTCCCCAGCTCTGCCAGGAAAGGGAGCTTCCCCCGAGGCTGAACCCTGCCCCAGCCATCCCCACAACCCCAGGGAAGGCCCGAGGGCCTCCGCTGGAAGCAGGTGACCTACTGCCACTTGAAACAATCCAGCAAGTAACCCCAGCCAGGACCAAGGCTGACAGCAAGGCCTGGCTGAACAAACTGCACTGTTTCAGGAGAAGCGGAGTCCAGCACCTCTTCCTTCAAGGTGTAGCACCCAACGGGGAAACAGAGCAGGTAAACAGGGTTGAGAGCAGCCGCTGTCAAGCCCAGCCAGAGCCTGCTTAGAGCAGCCTCTGCAGTAGAGGATGGAGCAGGGGCAGCTCCTGCTCCACTTCCCCTTTTGGGGGAAGCTTTGCCAGGCAGTTGGGATCTCTGGTTATTGCAGTTCCCTTCACAGTAGGCCCCACATCACAGCTGGGTTCCTCTGTGTTGGGGGGAGCTGGCTGTCCTGGTTTGAGCTTTCACCCATTGCCTTGCCTTGTATGCAGCGGAAATCTGAGCTCATCCCCAGAGGGAGGCTGAGCATGGTGCACACCACCATGGAGGAGAACTTCCCGGAGGGCACCTTGCATTTCCTGAGCGAGTTTGTCTCCTGCCAGCACTGTCCCCCCAAAGAAATCATCTCCCATCTGATCAAACAGATCCTGTTGAACTGCCACCAAGGGGAGATCCTGAAGGATACCTACATGCTGCTGATGAAGATCCAAATGTATGTGTTCCCTTTGCTGCGGCACCGTGGGGCTGGCTAGGTGCTCCTGGGTCCCTGCCCAGCATAAAGGTTATTCTCCATGGTCCTCACCCACAGAACAGGGAGCAATTTCCCCTATAATCTAGGATGATCCTCCTGCCTCTGCCTGTTGTCAGCACAGGCACACCCTGGGCTGTCTGAGGGTGGGTCAGCGACAGGCTGTGAGACCAGGGAGCCCTCTAGGCCAGAGGAGTGTGTTTGCCTTGCGCCTGAAGTGCAGATCTCATTCTTCACTGCTGTGACATGGCAGAAACGCCTTCCCTGAGCTGCAGCAGGGGCCGTGGGCTGGAGGTGGGTGGAGCGGTTCCCCCGCTGCCCTCAAGGTTCCCACAGAGAGGCACAATGTTTTGTGAGGCCACAGGCCCAAGAGTCCTGGGGCTGTCCATGGAGTACTGCCCCAGTCAGGTGCTTCCAAAAAATGAATGTGGTCAGAGGAGGAGAGAAAGGGAGAGGGTGAAGCTGGAGAGGGGAAGGCAGGACAGGCCCCTGAGCAAGTGGGTCCGGGAAGGGCCAGGGGCTGATGTTGTGGGGCGTTTCAGCACAAATGGACAGTGCTGTCTTTGGAGGCTCCCTCCAGCCAATGCCGCTACAGTGGGATGGGACTGGACGCTGCTGAAATACATCATGGAGGATCAGGTACTTGGCACCACCTGTGTCACATCGGGCAGGGATCATCCAGTACGCGGTGCCGGAGGGTAAGCGTTGCCCCGGGGCCTCACATGGCTGTGCTCTGCTGCAGAATGGGCCGGTCCAACATGCAGTTTTACTGCAGCTGCCGAGGGCAGCAAGTGCCCGTTGGGTATCCCGCGTTTACCCGCGGTGCTCCCTAACCTGCTGCACAGCTGTAAGCAGGTTGTCTCCTTTGAAGAAGGCAGAGCAACAAAGCCTCTGTGGGTCACTGCCCTGCTGCAATGGTAGAAAAGGTCCAGCAGTGCCCCTAAGGTAGTGCCTGAGCCAGGCTGCCCCTGAGACAGCCATGATTCCCTCGTGCTCCTTGCCCTGTGAGGCTCATACCATCTCCACCTGCCCTCAGGAGAAGCCCCCTGGCCGGCTCCTCTTCCTGCAGTATGTGGTGCAGACCCTGGAGGATGACTTCCAGCAGAACCTGAGGTTGCACGCCCTGCAGAAGTCGATTGCCAAGAAAGTGCTTTCGTGTGACACATGCTTCAACAATGTCAAGTAAGGGATGCCTCCTCCTTCCCTATTCTCTAATCAGATGCTGAGAGGCAGGGGCTCAGGGTCAGACTTTCACACTTTCCAGGAAAAAGTCTGGGAGATAGAGGGAAGTGTAGGGCCCAAGTATAGAGAACAGGACCAGGTGTACAGAAGCAAACCACCGGAGACGATGCAAGGCATTTCCAGCCGCAACCTAGCAGGCTTTTCCCAAGAACAAGATCTTGCACTGCTCAGGACAGGGCTGAGAAGGAGGCAGTCCTGTTGACAAGCATATAAATATGATGCTCAACAGCTACTCCCTAACCTGTCCAAATGGGTGGGATGTATTCTTCATCCTCAGGGTCTTTCCTCAGGCTCCAAGTGGATCTAGAGGTGAGAATGCAGTAAAACTGGGCCCATCCCAACTAAAGTTCCTGTTTCTGTCCCAGGGAGGTGGTCGAATGGTTGGTCGCAGCAGTTACAGGAGCTGGGTTCTCCCAGCCCCAGGAGCAGCCAAAAGAAACTACATCCTCTTCAGCAGAAGCAAGGGACAAATACAGCTCATCTGCACCATGTCTGGCCAGCACTGACCAGGCAGAGGTGGCTCCACCAGCTTGCTTTGCCCAGAAGTAAGTCCCAGAAGTCCTGACTCCCTGCTGGCATTATCATGGGGCCCAAGTCAGGGGGAAGCCAGTCCCTCCCTGTCAGGTCAGGGAAGCCAGGCTGTACCTGTGACCAGTTTTGCTGGTTCTCCTTTGGGGTAGACACAGACTTGGTGAGCAAGAGACTCCCTCACCTGGTAGGAAACTGGATCAGTAAGCATCCTCCTCTTGCATGTAGCATAAGGCTGGAGCTCTTGTCCCACAGCTCAAGCTGCCCCGTGCTGCTCCACCAACACTGGGTACAGCTGCCAAGACCTCCTGAGGGTCCATGTGGGGGTTAGGCCTGCTTCCAAGAGCATCAGATTCAAAAGCCACCAAGAGACACCAAACCTAGCCTGCTACGTTCCCCTGCATACCTCCCAGCAAGGCACAAGGCTGAACGAGGTGCCACCCCAGTGCTTTACTTTGCAAGCCGAGGGGTGATGTCTCCCGGTGTTAACTGTCTCTCTAACCTAGGGTGATGCTCCTGCTCCAGCGAATGTTGTCCATCGCAGTGGAAGTGGACAAATCTCCCAACTACAGCTCCTGTAAGATCGCAGATGTGATATTCCCATTTATACTGAATATTCCCCTGAGGAGCCAAAGGTGAGACAGACGTGTGCGAGGCAGCATCTGCCCGCGCGAGCAATCGTCCTATTCCCTGTTTACATCCAAGTCTGCATGCATAAAGTACCCCAGGGTATAGAAATTCAAGCTCATTTATGACCCAGCCAGTAAAAGCATGGTTGTATCTCCCATGGAGACACAACATCACCAGCTGAACACATCTACCCAGCTGGTGTGTGGCTGAGAACAGCTGATTCTCCCACTTGTTAAAGTTGCAGGATGTTAAAACTGCAAAGAGGGTCTGAAAAGCAACACTCTGCATCAGCACAGTCTAGTACTGGCAAACACATCACCAATTTCCATGGGCAACTGGGTAGCTCATCAGAAACGTGATGCAGTTCCTGCAGCTTTGCCTTGACATCCTTTTGTTTGCTTCTGTAAGAAATGCAGCATCTGAAGCCAGAGCACAAGGCCCTGACTGGCTCTAGTGTAGACACAAGATCACTAGACCCGCAGACACGTCAAACCCATGTTTGTCAGCCCCAGCAGGCAGCCCTTCCGGACCCTTTTAGCAGAACTCTCTCTGAGCACACACTGGGACTAATCAAGCCAAACTGACTCTAACCAAGCTACTGCTCCTCCCAGGACAGATATCCTAGATCTGGCTGGCCGCTGACCCCACTTCACACTTGCTTGGCTGTGCTCCCTGCGAATCGGCGGCATTGGGTAACTTCCACACAGGCTGCTGGGCAGGGTGAAGCGAAGCAGCTCAGCGTGCTTCACAGACCATACTGACCTCCGTTGCCACAGGTCAGACCTAAGGACATAAACAGGTCCATGGCCAAGCTGCATGACGAAGGTGTCTCTATCACATCTGGTGGTTTTCCTTCCACTGCACTGCTGGGCAGCCCCTGCAGTCACCCCACATCTGCACCAGATCAGCACCAGTGGGACACCAGGAACGTGCTGAAGCAGTTGTCCCTGGTCAGGCTGTTATTTACTCTCCCCCTTTGTCTTCCAGGGAAGCTTTCTTAAACACCATGGAGAGCCAGCTCCTGCGCTGCAAACTGCTAGAGCTGCTGTTCCAGCATAGTTGCAAAGTGCCCACAACCTTGCCCTTGTCTCTGGCCAAGATCCTGTACTTCCTGAGCCACTCCTCTATGCTGCTGCAATATCAGGTATCCAGTCCAACCTCGCCTTTGCCTTGTTTTCTCCTGAGAAAACTTCTTCTAATAACCAAATACTGTCTCCTGTCATAGGATGAAACAGCAATATGGCAAAGATGGGATGAGATGCTGCAGTACTTGAGTTTGCTGCTGATGAGTTACCAAAACGTAATACTAGGTAAGCAGCCTGTTCTGGCCTTAATAAACACAATCTCATCAAGAGGCTGCAGTAGAACAGCCAAAGTACCCTTCCTCCTTTCTTATCACTCTTGAACTCATGGCCAGTGTTAGAAAGATAATGCGCCTCCATCCACGCCAGTAGATTCCCAGGATTCAGAGCAAAGACACGATGTTGCATCAAGCAGAGTAACCAACTTACTTTGCCAAGTTTAGCCCCTGAGAAATAGCCTACTTCCTAAGGGATCAATCCCAGCACTGGGAAGTACACAAGGGGGTGCTCTGTACCCACTATTGTCTAAGTGGCACACACAGTGGGTGGAAGAATAGGGTGGTTTAGCAGGAAAAGCAGAAGGCAAAAGGCTGGTAAAACCAGCCACACTCAGCACTTAGCAGACTGGGCAGGGAGCACCACCCACAGTAGCCATGGAAGGAGCAATATTTATGACCCCAGGAGAGCAGCACAGTCACAAAATGCTCCCTAAAACTCCCTAAAGTCATTTTACCAGAAAATTCCTAAAGTCTCTTCCCAACTTCAGCTGCTTTAGCCTAGGGTTAAGGCTGTGTCATGGAGGAATGCAGGGGAACCCACCATCACATGT